AAAACTGCATTTCACATTTTTTGGAGAAAGAGCATGCTTAATGCCAGTCCCTTAGCATGTTGTAAACTGGTACATGAATAAGAAGTGTAGTGTTCAAATAAACCTGGAAAATATTGAGTATCAAGTTTTAATTAACTGGATAAACCACTTAATATGTCACATGGGAAAAAAAGCCAATGTAGGGTGATTCCAGGCTTGGCTAACTCACAACTCAATTGTATTTTCACATCGCTACTACATTTTCATTCTGCTGTCATTTGTATGCTGTGTAATTTCCTCAGGACCACAAAATGACTACAGTAATTGCAGGGTGTGTGTGTGGGGGGGTGCTTTTGATACAAATGAATACATACATCTCTTTTTGAGAGCAAATAAACTTTCTCAGGAGTTCCCCAGCAAACTCTTTTCTTATATCTCATTGGCTATTATTGTGTCCCATGCCTGTTCCTAAATCAGCCCTTGCAGAGGAAATTGAATTGGCTTGGACAAGTCAGGATGGACTCAGTGAGCCTCAAGCGATGTTCGGAACCTCTCACTTTCACCGATGGCCACCAATATCTGAAGAGAACCAGATTTCACTTAGAGGAGAGGGGTGGGTAGTAGATGAGTGACCAGAGACTCTGAAGTTGGCAATCAGTTGTGTCTGCCACACTAGGGGAAAACAAAGTTAGACTATTTTTTTAATGAACTTGCCACTCCTGATTTTCTTGATGTAAGGCTACGTGTTTCAAGTCCTGGTAGTCTCAAAGGCAAATTTGTCCCTTAGCAATATTTAATATGCTAGCGTATCTCAGAGCCTTTAATGTGCTAACATACCTGGTACTCTCCAAGAGAAGCATAAAGCTTGTGATGTTCCACAAATAATGAAATATTTCATTATTTAAAATATTAGTTATTTTTCAAGGCATTCTTCCTAGGATGAATGTCTTTATGAATGCAGTTTAGAAACTGCTCTGCTGAATTATTAGTCTGAACCAATTTCATAGTACATATTTTATAATGGTCATAATGCCCTCAAGATTGCCTTTTTAAGTACTGTAAAAAATAAGGGAAACTTGTAAAGTAATAGGTTATAAAATTAATATTAGAAAATGAATTGCCTTATAAAATAACTATAGTAAAATGTTAACATAAGAATCTAGTTGATAGGTTCACTGTAAAGTTCTTTCAACTTCACACTATGTTTAAAATTTTTCATGATAGAAAGTTAAAAAATAATAAAACAACCATAACAAAACAAAGAATAGCTTTTATGTACTCAACTAAAAACCAGCGAGAAATACATAGCAAAGATAACTGCATTTATAATAGCAAAAATAAATAAAATAGCTCGTCTAACTTTCCAAGAAACACTCAACCTATGTGAAAAGAACTTTAAAACACTATTGAAGGAAGCAGAGTAGACTTGAGCAAATGGGAAGGCACAGATAGGAAGACTCAACTTTGTAAAGATTTCTGTTCTAGTTTATTTATAAGCACAACATAATCCTAATAAATGTACCATCAAGTTGGCTTTTTTTCTTTTCTCAAGCTAGATAAGTGGTTAATAAACAAAAATAACCAGGAGAATTCGAAAAAAATGAATAAGATGGTGGGAGAGGGGCTAATTCTACAGGTTATTACACCAGTTATCAAAATATGTTATAGAGCCTTTATAATTGAAACTTTAGTGTTGGTGCCTGAATAGACCAACCAAACAATAAAACAGATTTTAAGAATCCAAAAATAGACCTAATTACATATGGAAATTTAGTATATAATAAAGGCAGCACTTCAAATCAGTGAGAGAAGATGAACTGTTGTGTATAATGATAACTAGATAGCTATACAGAAAAAAATTTTTTTGATTCATTCCTCACACTGCACATCAGAATATATTCCAAGTAGATCAAACATCTAACTTTAAAAAATAAAATTATACAAGTACTAGAAGAAAACGTAATTGGAATCTTCTGTACCCTGGGAGTGGAGATATTCTTTCTAGCCATAACTGAAAATCCAGAAGCAATAAGAGAAAAAAAAATTGACAAATTTTGTTGAATAAACAATTTTTTAAAATCAAATATAATTTTATTTGGAAAATAAATACCCAAAGAAAGTAAAAGAAAAATTACAAACTGGGAAAAATATTGGCAACTTAATCTGAAAGAGTTAATATATTTAATTAATAAAAAGCTTTTAAAAGTAGAGAAGGAAATGAGCAGCAACTTTTTAGAAAAATTGACTAGATTATAAACAGTTTGTAACAAAAGCAATACAATGGCTTTTAACCATATGCAAAGATGTTAAACCTCCCCTATAATAAGAAAAATGCAAATAAAAATATACTGGTGGCATTTCTCACGTACCTGATTGACAAAAAGCCAAGTTTGACAACATACTCGATTGGTGAAGTTATGGGGAAATGAACACTCTCATCCTTTGTTGGTGAGAGAGCAAAAGAGTGCAACCTCACTAGAGGGGAATGCACAACATATAGCAAAATACATATGAATTTACCCTTTAACAAAGCAGTCTCACTTCTCTGAATCTATCACCAAAATATTCAGACAATAATTGAAAAACACATATATGGACAAGGCTGTTCATTACACTACACTTTTTAGAATGTGAGACATGATTGCTATTCCAAGAATGTTATTTGCATGTTATGGAATAAAGCAAATGAATAATCATAAAGGTATCATTAAGAACCAGGATTTTGGGCCGGCCCCGTGGCTTAGAGGTTAAGTGCGCGTGCTCTGCTGCTGGCGGCCCGGGTTCGGATCCCGGGTGCGCACTGACGCACCACTTCTCCGGCCATGCTGAGGCCGCGTCCCACATACAGCAGCTAGAAGGATGTGCAGCTATGACATACAACTATCTACTGGGGCTTTGGGGGGAAATAAATAAATAAAATCTAAAAAAAAAAAAAAAAGGACCAGGATTTTCCTCATGAAAGGAGGTAGAGATGTAAGAGTGTGGAAGTTAAGCAAAAATCCTATACTCCTGAATTTGAATTGGAAGTAGCAATGTAAATTCATGATGAATTTTATCTTTTTTAAAAAAAAAAAAAAAATCCTGTTCTATACACACTGAAAAGGCCTTGATACAATGACAAGTAGTGAGCATAAGGTTGATTGTATTTAAATGAGATAAATATAAAACACAAGTATCTGCCATATGAGATATTAATGTGTGCTCTGAAAAGGAAAGATACAAATTCAAGTGAACTTAGGATGTTCTGAATTTCCTTCTTGGAGATTATATTTTATGTTATAATATGAAATGCTCTGAAAAAGTCTCTCAGTAAAGAAATCTAAAGATTTTAGATCTAAAGAAATCTAAAAATATTTAACAAGGGTTGTCAGGAACCCTTTGTTTTGCAGAGGAAGGGATTGGGGTTGTAGAATTCCTATTGTTTCTTCATTACACAAATGTGCCATAGAAAATAAGTGAAAGTGAAATACAATCTGTGGATAACTATTTGTCATAGAGGAACAAGAGGTCTAAAGAGCCCCACTGGTATTATGTACTTAATGAATGCATAATTTATTATAAGTATTGTTTAGAATCTATTAGACACTAAATGCTGTGTTTAGTGTTAGGGATATAAGGAATAAAAAAAGAAAAGAAAAAAGTCTGGGAAACAGACTAATAGAACATTAAAATATAGTGCTATTAATTTTATGATAAAGATTTGAAATTTTTATAAAAATCTTTGTGATTGAGGGCCTAAAGGTAGGCAACCATTGGATTGTGCCATGGAGAGAGAATTAAGTTGTCATGGGAGAAAGTGAGGAGGAAAGACATTTTTGGCAAAGTAAAGAGCATGAGCAAAGATAGCTTAACATTAGAATTGATGGTGTTGTCAGGAAAACATAGCCATACCTGTCTGGAACACAAAAATTGTAGGGAAGAGGTGAGGTAGGGTCACTGTAGTGAGAGGAATGTGGGCTTTAGGATCTGACAAGTCTGAGCTGTCATCATTGCTCTACCTACAAATGATCTTGGGAAGGTGATTTAATCTCTATAAGACTCAGCTTTCCCATCTGTATAATGAGGATAAATAATATTTAGCTCACAAAGTGAGGATGAAATAAAAATAATGTATGAAAAGCTTTCAATACAATGGAGGGCACTTAATCAATGTCAGGTTCTTATTGTTATTAGAATGATGAGGGCAAAATGATGAACATTCTCAGTTGTCATGGGAAAGGGTTTGGATTTTATTTTGTAGACAATGGAGGCTCAGAAGAATTCTGAGCATGAGGGTGAGGTGATTACTCTGTAGTTTGGAAAGATGAATATGGAGGAATGAATAGATGAAGGGAGACTTCAAGCATTGCATCTGGATGGAAGATGAGAAGGGTATACATAGGGCATGGGGAGTGTGGCCGAAACATTCAATGTTTCAGAGGTAGAATTGATATAACTTGGCTATTCATTAGATATATGTATGTGAGAGTGGGGAGTGAGAGAAAGGAAAGAATAAAAAATGACATCTGGCCTGAGGATCTAAGTTGCCAGTAATACCAGCAATTGAGACAGACAATGCAGGAGGTGCAGTAGGTATATAGAAGTAGTAATGAGTTCTGGTGTGGAATTTAGTTTGCTTTGTACCATTTTCCTTTTGGCTCATCATCTTTCTAGAGTAAATGAGTTTTAAAGATTTGAATATGGCAGCCCAGTTTCTAATCCAAGCAATCCCTTGATTCTCTGGGACCACTATATTTTGAATAGTATGTTGGCTTATTACAGAAGCCGTCATTGTGATTCTTTGGATTGCTGCTTCTAAAGTTTGTCTAATATATCCAAAAGTTTAGTGTAATGTGCTCCAGAGTCAAATACCAAAAACCATCAAAACAACCTAACATAGTAGCCAAATGTGGGTATGTGGCTTGCACTATTGAACTCCTCAAAGCCTTGTTTCTTTAAGTATAGTTGAAAGTAAATGCAAATTTAGACATTCTACTCAACACCAATCTTTGTGTGTGTGTGTTTCTTGTTTTAATGTGCAGGACAGGAGAGAATTGGAAAAGATTCCAACTATGAACAGGAGGGTAAAGTTCAGTTTGTGATTGACGCAGTGTATGCTATGGCTCATGCCCTTCATCATATGAACAAGGATCTCTGTGCTGACTACCGGGGTGTCTGTCCAGAGATGGAGCAAGCTGGGGGCAAGAAGTTGTTGAAGTATATCCGCAACGTTAATTTCAATGGTGAGTCTCCAAACACCCATGCTTTTTGGGATCCTAAGTGTTGGCATTCTGTGTTTCATAAGTTATGTAGTTGGATTATCATTTACTCTTGAGTATGTGTCAAAACCTGGTTGATTATATAATTTTAAATGACCGAATCCATACATGAATGACTAGTGAGTGAGTGAATGAATGAAAAAATAAATATTTGGTGGTTATGGTTTGTCTTCCTTTTCTTAAAATAGGGCGGTATTTGCACAAAGCCAAATTCTTCCTCAGTGAATATAAGTAGTAATGCGAGGAGGTAAGGGGAAAGGGAAGAGACAGTTGCTTTAGGTACCCAAGTTAATTGAAGTAATGATTATAATTTGCTATACCACCCTCATTTCAGATTGCAAACATTTCTCAAAGTATAAAACTCTGTTAGAAATTAGTTACCTAAAAGTGGTGGGCAGAGATGGGTGGGAAAATGAGTAAGTAGGGTAGAAGGCGTGAGGTAGAATTACCACTTGTCTGATAATAACTTTTGTATAGTCGTGACTCTTATAACAGTTTAATGCTTCACATACCAAAAACTAAATAATTAAAATAAACCTGAATATGGGTTGTATTAGGGTTCACTGGAGAGACAGAACCAATAGGGTATATAAAGATATAAAGAAGAGATTTATTATAGGAATTGGCTCACACGATTATGAAGGTAGGGAAGTCCCATGGTCTTCCGTCTGCAAGCTGGAGAACCAGGAAAGTCGTTATAATTCAGTCTGAGCAACCAAGGCCTAAGAATCAGAAGGCTCCTGGTCTAAGTCCTGATCTGAGTCCGAAATCTTGACAACCAGGAGCTCCAATGTCTGAGGGCTGGAGGAGATGGATGTCTCAGCTCAAGCAAAATGAATTCACCCTTTCTCCCGTTTTTGTTTCTAATCAGGCCCTCAAGAGACTGAATGATGTTCATCCACACTGGGGACAGACTATCTGCTCTATTCAGTTCACCAATTGAAATGCTAATCTCTTCCAGGAACACCCTCACACACATACCCAGAAATAATGTTTTACTAGCTATCTGGGCATCCTCAGTCAAGATGGCACATCAAATTAACCATCACATGAGTGTAATACAAAAATTCATGCGGACAATAATAAATAAACCTAACTATACTACAAATGAATAACATAACCACACTGAAGGGGTTGAGGAATGAAAAATGAGTACAAGTAATTTTAGAAGACTGTATTTGATTATATACTATAAGACTAAAGACAAAAATAACTATACACAGATATTGCACAGTAGCTAGTAAATTTGTGGGTTGTTTTACAATTATGAAAATAATTTATGTACGTAAGAGAACTGAGAGAATAATCAAACATATTGTAGATGAGAGCCAGGTTTCTCACTGTCAGAGAAATTACTAATAAGAATGGTAGAAAGCTAGAATGAACCTTGTTGTTGTATTAGAATAGAAGTTATCAACATAAACTCATGGCTCTTAATATACATGGAGATGGTAGATATAGAAATAAATATGTGTATGTAGTATATGTATATACCTATACTGCCTAGTTCTGTCCACTGAGAGGGCCTAGGAGCAATGACACTCTGGTAGAAATGACTATACCTAGTATCCACATCTTATTTATAAATCGCATTGAACTAGGGCTCCCTAGAGAAACTATTGATTCAAGGGCCAGGCAGGGAAAGCACAAGATGAGCTTGAAGCATCATGTTGTGCCAGAAAGTAAGAAAGTGCTCAAAAACTGATGGGGTCATGTTGAGAGGGCCCAGGAACCAACTTGAAGGAGATCCCACTGGCCAATTCTGGGACAACAATGGATTAAACTCATAAAATAAAATAAGTGTCAATAAGTCCATACTGATATAAATAAATAATTGAATTGAATACATAAATGCAGGAGAAGGGACAGCATAATAGAATGATGGAAAGGTGGAAATATAAAATCACCATTTTGCAAAGATGTCAGTAGTAATTGTTTTAGGCAAGAATCATCAATGGATGCTAAAATTATTGGGCTAAAGTATGATGAGAAACAAGATATTTGCATAGTCTCCAAGTGTCTTCTCTCAAGAAACATATTAATTACAAAGGGGAAAAGAGTAGCTTTGAAGTGTAAAAACCTGGAAGACAGCACCTTAACTGAGTGATCAAGGTTAACATCACCAGTAATGAGACTAATCGACATCATGCGTCTCTTGATAAGATACCCTGGGAAGGTTACAACATCACTTCTGAAGTCTTATTGCCAAAAATATATAATCTCAATCTAATCATAAGCAAACATCAGACAAATCCAAATTGAAGGACATTTTACAAAATAACTTGCTAGTGATCTGCAAAAGTGTCCAAGTCACGAGAAAGACAGATAGTGGAATTGTTCCAGACTGGAAGAAACTAAGGAGACATTGCTATTAAATGCAATGGGAGAACATTGATTGATCCTATGGCAGAAAAAGGACCTTAATGGGACAATGGAGAAATTTTAATAAAATTTTCAGATTAGTATTAAATAGTATTATATCAATTTTAATTTCCTGGTTTAGATAATTATATTATGGTTAAAAAAATCTTCTTGCTTCTCTCCTCGTAAATAATAACCCATTTAAATATACAATATTGTATCCATCATTCAGGAGTTGCCTAGTATCTGGATGAAGAAGAACCACATCCAATTTTGGAACCTACAGTTTCTTAGTTAAGATGGAGGCAAAAATGACTGTATATAAAACAGAAAATAGTTGAACTACAAATTATCTTTTTATATAGTTTCTTTCTGATCTTACAGACTCTCCTAAAAAGTATAACTAATTTTCCCAGAACCAAACATATAGATTTCATTATTTATCCAACACTAAATTGTAAATGCTGGCGTCAGTTTTTAGGCCTTGTATTCTGGTCCATGGATGTGCATGACCATTGTTACACTAGTGACAAAAAAATACATTTTGAGAATATTCTTGATGATTCTGCCCTGAATCTTCTTCCAGGTAATGTTTGTAGATTCATTTTTTCAAGATGGTCTTGTCCAACAATGAGCCAGAGTTGCTGAGCTTCTGACTGGAGACAGGGCTTATGTTTATCAAATGATTCCTGTGTGCCAGAAACTATGCTAAGTACTTTATGAGGGTTGACTTACACAATATTTAAAACACTAAATAGTTTAGATACTATTATTGTCCCTTTTTTTTTTAACAGATAAGGAAACTGATTCACAGAGAGATTAAGAATCATGATGTTCAAAGCCACACAGCTAGGTAGTCACGATGGTACACTTGGCACCTAGGGTACCTAACTCCATGGATGCTCCCTTGACTATTATTCTTTAAGGGTCCAAGAGGAAGGACCTACTGCATCATTCTACTGTTCCATCTTAGAATGGATGCCCTATGGAAGGTCACAAGCAGGGCCAATTGTTTCTCTTTGTCGTCATTGCATTGATGCTCTCTGGTCAATATAATCTTCTTTTCTCTGAGGACATTTTTTCTGCCATATGGAGACTTCTACCTTAAGGAGACTTCTGGCTCCTGGGACACTGTGACATTGGTTGATGGCGGGGCTCAACAGTTTTGTAAAGCAGAGACCCTATACTAGATTTAATTAGTGGATTCCATGTCACTTTAAGTGAGCAACTGTTAGAGTGAAAAGAAACTCGACATTTTTTACTCACTCAATTTCCTGATTTTTCTGTAAAGAAATCAAATCCTACAGAGGAGAAAATATTTGTTTGAGACTTCACAGCTAGCAAGTGATGAAGACAGATCTAGAAGCCAAGTTTCTTTCTAGTCCGTTGTGAAAAATTTAGCCTTTCTTTTGCATGTAGGAGGATTTTGATTTTTCTTTGTCTCAATAAGCTTAATTGTGCTCTTCTGTTACTTTAATACAAACTTTTCTGTACCCCTGAGAGTTTTATTCTAGACCAGTAGAGTATAATTTAGTAACTCTGAGCTTCACATTTCCCAAAGCATCAATTTAGGAAATTATAATAGAATGCCCTAAAACTATTGCTACAGCTTGGTCAAGTACTTAACCTCCTCTTTAGCACCAAGATAAAAAATGGCTGATTTGTCTTCATTACTTCTGGTTATTTTATCCTGCATCCCAAATGAATGCAATGACCTGAGTCTAAATTTGTTTTAGTTATCTCTGTGTTGGCCCACCCAAGCAGGCGTCAATACTTATAGATGTAAATTTAACAAATTGGTTGTCCTGGATACAAAATCTTAGAGAATTGCTATATAATGAAGTATTTACTCTGAAGTTTGTCTGTGCCTAGATTTATTAGTTTCCAGAAAACAAATTGGGTTGGGGTTTGTTTTGTAAAGATGGTACATCACATGTGCTTTCCGTGAAACATGAAGTTAGCTTTCCTTTATGAAGAGGTGAGATCTGTTCCCTCTCCTTAAATCTGAGTGAGCCTGTGACTAATGTGGAAGTGACACTATGTGACTTTTAAGACATAAAAGGTAATAGGGCTTCTGCCTGATTCTCTTGGGACATTTGTATTATGAACACAGCTACCATGTTGGGAGGAAGCCAAACGGGTGGGCCACGTGTGGATATTCCATCCCCAGCGCCAGCTGAGGTCCCAGCTGATAGTCAGCATCAGTTGTCAGACAAGTGAGCTGCAAGCTCCCCTGGCTGACATGAGTGGACCAGAGTAGTGCTGTTCTCACCGAGTCCTGCTCAAAACTCAATACAGGCTGTCATTATTTTGAGCATTAAGTTTTAGGGTGAGCAGCAATAGATAATTGGAACACAAATCAATGCAGCATTTCTGGAATCTCTGCATGGGGTGGCAAAACAGGAGAGAAAACTTGTAAATACTTTGATACAGAGGATGATTTTATTATCTGCACAATCTAGATCCCCAATCCTTCTCTGTCCAGGAAGAGAGGAATTTCATTGGGATACTTGCACCCGGCAGGGATTTCAGACTTGAGTACATTCTGTCATCCATCCTCTCCTCTCAGTGTCTCACCTTTCTCTGTTTCCTTTTACATTACTGCACTTGCATCCTGGCCCTGAAACCTTGTGGACAATTCTGCTGGTGATTACTTCTCCTTTGATAACTTCTTTTTCTTCTCTGCACTTCTTTGATTTTTTTTTTTTTTTAATATAGAGTTCATTGAACACAGTCCCTCTTTTTCTCTTTCAAGAAGTTAAGGAGATCTGTTAAAAAGGAGTGTAGAAAAAAACTGGAAATAATAAGCCAGTTGCATTATAGAATCCATAAAAAAGATCAAAGCTACACAATATGCTATTACAAGTCATCACTTAGATAAAGTATTCAGCTCTTCTGCCTTAATTTTTTTTAAAGCATAAACTTTAATGAGAAAGGAAAGGGCACAACAAGAATCGTTTCTCCTAACAAAGATTGTAAAAAGGGAGAAAGATTAGGCGGTATGTCCCATTCTGATGAATATTTAGCTGGTTAGCTTGAGATGTTTGGAGCCCCAGGCCTCCAATATCATTCCTCTCAAAGACTATGAAAAACTCAAATCATATTATTTAATAACTAGAAGCTATAGAATTACAGCAAAGCACAACATGAATCCTAGTATCCAATATGAAAGAAAAGAAAGGTGAGTATCTGAATATTAATGTCTTCCTGAAAAATGATAGGATTCTTATTTTCTTGCTAATAACATGTAAAATCTAGATTTCATTTCTTTTCCTTGTATACTTGGAAGGCTCGCTGAGAGCATAAAGCCAATATTAAAAACCTGTTGTTGTTATTGATGTTGGTTCTCTTTCTCTCCCTGTGTGGGAAGCCTTGTGTTGATTCCTATACAGAAAAGGCTTAAGAGATCCCTATTGTGACAGAGTGGGTGCCTTTGTGGGTTGTGGAGATAGCGTCTACGTAAAGCATAGGAGAAACAAATTGAAATGGTGCCCTTGGCCACACACAGATTCAGCCACTGACTCAAGTTGGTGGGACCAAAGCAACACTGCTCAGAGATCAGTTTCCAGTCCATTGTGAAAAATGGAGTAGAGTGGGCTAGTGCTGCTGTTTAGAAAATAAAAAATCTTTACACTGATGGAGAAATTTAAATTAGATACCAGTTAGGAGAGACAACTTTGGTGCGTGGGAAAAGACTGTATATCTGAAGGCATGCATTCTGGTTCTGAGATATCAGCAAATAAAACAATGATGAAAATAGAAATTATAAAAAGTCATTACCAACTATTGAACATTTATTATGTAAAAGGCAAGGAACTAAGTGCTTTACATACATTATTACGTTTAATCCTCACTCTAAGTCTATGAGAAAGGTATTATTAGTGACAATCATAAGTAGAAGGAGATCAAATAATTTCAAAAAGTCACACATATAGTAAGTGGTAAACCTGCAATTTAAACCCGTCCTAGGAGATTCCAAAGTGAGTTACTAAGCACTATTCTAGTTTAATTAGCTGAGTGGCCCTGGGCCAGTGACTTCTCTTCTCTGAACCTATGTAAACTTACCTGTAAAATTAGGAGGTTTGATGTTCTGTGTTCTCCAGTTCTGTATTAGTTTCCTATTGCTACCATAAAAAATTACCTATATTTAGTGGCTTAAACCACACAAATTTATTATTTTATAGTTCTGTAGTTTGGAAGTCTGACACAGGTCATATTGAGATCTAGTTGAGGTGAAGGCAGGGCTTACTTCTGGAGGCTCTGGGGAGAATACGTTTTCTTGCCTTGTCTGGCTTCTGAAGGCTGGCTGCACTCCTTGGCTGGTGACCTGTTCCTCACATCAGTCCAAGCTCTTGTTTTCATCATCGCATCTCCTCCTTCCTCCTTTGACTCCTGCCGCCTCTCACTTATAAGGAGCATTATGATTATACTGGGCCCACCCAGATTCTCCAGGATAATCTTCCCCATCTCATGATCTTTAATCACATCCGCAAAATCTCTTTTGCCATGTATGGTAACATTCACAGGTTCTGGAGATTAGGACATGGGCATATTTGGGGAGCCATTCTTCAGCCTACCATAAACTCTAATTTTGTTCATTTTTAATACCAGAAGTATCGTAAAATCCTGTACCCGATAAAATCCTGTGCCCGACAGTTGTAGGACGGTGTGGAGTTCTTTAGCTGCCCTATATTCTGTCTATAATGTTGGACCCTCCTCTTCCACTAGAGGTAAATTTCAGCACAGGATTGTAACTCTGTATGCTTCCTGTGACCCAAAATATTGTCTCTCTTTCTGGACTCTTTTTCTAGCTTCATTCTTGTGTTGAGTGGTCATTGGTGTGGGGCCACTCCCAGCATCATGCCTGCTTCCTTAAGTGTAGGCATCTTTTTTTTTTACTGTTTTAAGCATACTCTCTCCTGTCCAGTTAGCATGCCATACTTTTTCTTTCATCCATGTCATTATTGCAAATATCATATTGGCCCAAATTCAGCAGAAGCTAATGACTTTGCTAACCAGATGCAGAGCTCTGCCACAATTAGTTTCTTAAATTTTTACTTAGAATTCTCAAGAGTGCTTCATGCTCATTACCTAGGACTTACTCTGCCCCTCCCCCCCAAAATAGCAAACTTCTGTACTCAGTGATTCTGTTTCAGCCTGTAAATGATCTGTCAACTTCCTTGTAAGTGACAGGAAATTGAGCATTGTTTTCTGCTAAGAATATTGACCCGATATTAACCTATAGGTGGAGCAGATACCGGTCACATACCCTGAGACCAGTGGTATTTTTCTTGTTTTCAAGCCATCATGAGAAAAATAGCACTCAGTTACCAAACTTTTGGTAATTGTAACTGTTGCTGAAAGTAACCAAAGCTCACGTCTTCCATTCTCTGCTTATGGTTTGCCAATTGTTCCATATGGTTAATATTAGGGAACTTTTAACTCATATCCAACTTTCAATTTATTTATATATATATATAAAATAGATGGGAAAAAGAGAATATATATATTCCCAATAAATGCATTTGTCTTTTAAAATTGACTTCAATGTCTAATTGTACCAAAAAATTGGTTTCATCTTAAGATGGATATTTTAAATAAGAACTGAATGGGAGATTGAGAAAGAGACCAGCATTTATTAAACATTTACCAGGCACACTGCTAAGCATTTTAGACTGGTTATCATGTAAAGTAAATTAGAATTCATCAGCAAAAAATATTTCTAAATGGAATCAATATCCTAGTACATATTTAAGTGAACTTTTGTGCTTGTTTGCTTGTTTGTTTTTTTAATTCTCTTACATTCCCCTTTTAAAACTTATTTGTTTATTTATTATTTTTGAAATGGTTCTATACTGACCAAAATTTAGTGTTAGTTAGAAACTAAAATAATAATAATAATAAAACATAAAGTTATGTCTGGAAAATAATGCATTTAATTTTTATTCCTCACAAGAGGGAAACAGTAGAGTAAAATATTAAGAAATATTAAACAATTGAACTGCTCAAAGGAGGAGGCAGCGTTGTCTTCTACCTTCTATAATTAGCATCTGTAGGCCCTATGATGACTTGCCCATGAGTTTCAGGGACCATTTGGGAGGAACCTATTAAACAATGGGGTTATCTACTAATCAAACCTTGCTCATCAACAGGTTTCCAGACCACCATTCATGGCACAAGAGATAGAAGGAATCTTTTTAACTCTAAAATCTTTCATTTTCTTGTTTTCCTCAGGTAGTGCTGGCACCCCGGTAATGTTTAACAAGAATGGGGATGCACCTGGGCGTTATGACATCTTTCAGTACCAGATGACAAACACCACCAACCCTGGTTACCGTCTGATTGGACAGTGGACAGATGAACTTCAGCTCAATGTGAGTTCTAATGTTCCTCTTTGCTTGTGTGATGAATGAACAGACTTAGTTGGCTCAATTAGGCAAACGTTTCTTGTTTGTATGTTTGTGTCTGTACACAAGTGAACATGCAGCTTGTTACAGGGATGAGCAAGGGCTGATAATCAATAATATAACAATGATAGTGATGATGATGATGATGATGTTAGGGTATGTCTTCTGAGTTTATGCCAGACATTGTGCTCAGCACCTATGTGAATGATCTCATTTAATCTGAGGCTCAGATTGCTTATCAAACAAGGACCAGCGAATACTTTAATACTTGCACAAGATCCCTCTCTTGGTCGGACTTTTCATCCTTCCTTCCTTCTTTACTTCTTTATCTGGTGGTATGTTTTATTATTTTTTTTAAATGCATTTTAGTGGATCACTTTGGTTTAACTGAGAGTCTCTGAGTAATTGCAGTGTTAGTTAATTTCCATAATCTCTCGCTCTTTCTGTGAAATGTGACCTTGAGTAATCAGCCACTTCCTTGTGCAAGGTAATGTCAACGTTCACCAGCAAGAGACCATCAGGAGCTCATCCGTCGTCAGCATAGTTAGGTTTATTAAACTTACCGCATGAAAGACAAGCTCCTGCCGGCAAAACTCCTTCAGGATGGAGGACTTTGGATGGGATTTATTATAGAGTTTGGGCTGAGTTGGGTGATTCTAGGGAAGTTTAGGGAAGTAAGGGCCAGTTTTGTGTTGGGTTCTCTTAGGAAGTGGTAACAGTTTGATGATTATATGTATTGGAGATTTTTATCTAGGAGATGGGAGGATAAAAGCTAGGCAAGAGGTGTCACTTGCAGAGAAACAGTAGGCGCTTAGGTGAACTGGACAAGGGAGATGTTGAGTTGTTTTTGAGGTTGCAGAGTACTCTTGTTTCTGTCTAGTTTCAGACGTGATATCAGAGTGGCCTTATTTCTATCTTGTTCCATCACAGTCATAGAGTGGCCTTGTCTGATTATCATTTATGTTCTGCAGAAGTTGTTTATGTTCTGTTTGGAATATGCCTTCCTAGTTGTTAGCTGACAGCTGTCCTGCCATTTTTTTTTTCTTTTTTTACTTTCTTAATATTTCAGGTTCAACATTCAATAGTGAGCTTCTAATAATACTTACAATTCAGAATTATTTGGAATTATTGTTAGTTTAAGTGAATATACTAGTCTTCCCAGAGAGAAAAGAACATGGGCCAGGGCAGCTCCACCCTGGCTGGGCCCAGCACAGCTGGAGCTCAGCACATCACGCATGCCCTGTTTTTCCACTCCTCCAGGGAGAGGGCTTAAATAAGCCAGGACTCAGCCTGGTGGATGGGGTCCTGAAGCCTAGATGGGGAGAAATTGGAGAAGTAGGGGTGCTGCTGGGCCTTTTCTTCTGATACGTGCTGGATGGGGTTACACTCCAAGAGGTTCTGCAGCAGGTCCCACCCTATGGCATTGAGCTTGGGTACAATGTTCACCAGAGATGTTGTGGCTGGGCACATTGGGGAGGGCTTATAAATCTGGTAGGCCTTCCCAGGTCCATAAATATACCTTGAATTTATAGTATATGCAAATATGATTTTCTTTTATCCAGCAAGTCCCTCCATTACTCTGGATTCTCCAGAGAAACAGAACCAATATAACAGATAAATAGACAGACAATAAAAAATTAGCTCACATTGTTATGAAGGCTGAGAAGTGCAACTGGCAAACCAGATACCCAGGAGAGCCAATTGGGTGTAAGTCCAGCCTGAGACTGAAAGCAGGAGAAGACTGATGTTCCAGCTCAAAGATAGGCAGAGAGAGAGAGAGGTTTCTCTCATACTCAGCCTTTTTGTTCTATTCAGGCCTTCAATGGATTAGTTGAGGCCTGTCCACATTGGGGACATCAATCTGCTTTACTCAGTTTACCAATTCAAATGTTCATCTCATCCAGAGACACCCTCACAGACACACCCAGAATAATGTTTAACCAAATATATGGGCACCCCATGGCCCAGTCAAGTTGACGCATAAAATGAACCATCACACACTGTAGCCCAGAAAATTTCTTCTAGTGTTTCTTCCAAAGATGAAAATTGTGCCATTAGCTTTTATCAGCCTACACGTTAGGATGCACTTTGGAAATTATTGAGAGCAAGTCTTCTTGAGAATGAAATACAGAATTGATGTCTCGGGGGTGGTAGGGTTTAGGTCATGGTTTCTAAGAAGCGAGGATTGTGCAAAAAGTGGGGGGTGGTGAAACCACCACAGGCCAATTACCTCATTGGCACATTGCCCTGCCTGGCTCTCCTTGGTTCTGTCCAGTTCTCCCTCTCCTGAGGTCCACCATCCAAGTGAGCTGATACAAAGGTTGGCTCCAAAGGATTTTGATCTGGCATCCAAGAATGGGTGGAGCCAAATCAGCAAGTGCCAGCCTTGGCTGAAATAAACACTAAGGGCCAAAACGAAAGAAGCAGCTAAAATTATCCTGAACTCAAGGCACACTAAAATTGCAAGCAAAGAGAGAAAATGAAAGCAAAACAAAGAAAACCCAATAGGTAAGCCCAAGGAGTAGTAATCAAAAGCAGAATCAAAGCAGCATAACCTGGCTTACACACCCAAAGTGTGTTTTTATTGGATGTTGCGTGTGTGACACAAGTAGGGGTCAGCCAGAACTAAAGGCAGAGACTCAGGGTCTGTGGCACACATGTGACGTGCTCAGGGATTATTGTCATGCCCAGGAGATTATATTGATGCGTTCTTCTGTTCTAGTATAACCCCTGCACCAATGTTAAATTTCTGGCATGGGTAATTTGTCCATTTACACAAGATTTCCCAAGCAACCTTTACCAACTTCACATATTTCCTGGGAGTTCTTAAGTCTACTATCTTTGAGAACCAACATCAACCCTCATTTTATTTTTCTTTGTTTGGTTTGCAATTTCTCCCTCATAAGAATTGTATTTGATTAGCCATTCAACAAGTTTTTTTTTTTTTTTTAGTATCTTTCATGTGATAAGCATTGAGCTTATGGAGCAGTGTGGGTGATAGCAACACAGGATCAGGAAGAATGCTTGGAGTGGGAGGGGTAAAACTGAGAATCCCAATTGACTGTTCTTAAATATGTGAGGGCCAAAATGAAATGTATATAAGGCTGAAACTCAGAAAAGAGTTTTGATCTATAGATCTAAAAAAAAAGAAATTGTTAACCTATAAATGGCCTTTAAATCCATTAAAGAGAGAGAAAAGAAAATAGCAAAGAACCCAAGGTCTTGAAAACCTCATAGAAAATAATACAGTTCCATTCCACCTATTCCAAATAGCTCCCAATTTAAAATATTCTGTTTAATTTACCTGGAAATTTGGGTCGACCATATACTTTGGATTTTTGTTTTTGTTTTTAGAAACTAGATCAGCGGCATATGCTTGACATGGTATTAAGTGGGAACGCTTTTGATTCTACTTGTTCCTGCTGAGAGTGGTGTGTTAGGAAGAGCAGATAGGCAGATAGGACACCTGAGTTCTCAGGTGGATCTAGTAGTTTGTGCTTGGTGTTGCATGCAACCTAAAGGTCTGAATGACTGAGCCATGAGCAGGGCCATTTTCAGAATAGTGAGTGGCTGAGTTAATTCAATTTAGGGTGGCAGCCAGGATAACTGGCCTTGATTGGAGGTTATTCTGTTGACGCCTTTTATGGACTCCTTAGGATATTGTTAAATTGCATTCGAATCAAAAAGAAAGGACAAAACAGGAGGTAAATACAACACCAAGAGGCACTCCACCCCTCTCACCTGGAGACCAGGGGCCACAGTGCAGGTAGCCTGTCCTGTGGTTGGTATCCTATCCAACATTACTCTGTCCATGATGTTCCTTTTTCTCTAATCATTCTGATTCAGTTAAAAGTTCTGTGAAAGTGGAATTTGGGCAAGCTTAGTTTTGTAGGTTTGCTTTCTTCTAGTCAAGGGAACAAAACAAAGCATTTCAAGTGACAAGTACACTTCTGCTCATTTATACAGACTCAGGAGTACTCTTTCAATCCCCAGTTAGATCATCTCTAGCAAATGAAATTTTCAGGAGAGCTCTCTTTGTGGTCAGTAATTGCAAATGAGTTTCTGAGCCGGGAAATCAGAGCTTTAGGTTCTCAGAATCCCAGTGCTGCAGACTAAGACTGCTTTGCCGTTCTATATCCAATCCTCCAGAATTTAGGTGTCTAGGAGTGTGCTGTCTGTTATGGAATGTCATCTTGTCCCCTTACTGCCGGAGTAGTAGCTCTGGGCCCTGTCTCCTCTGTGGGCTAAGAGATGACTGCACGGTTTGCTACAAGGATATTTCTGCACAAACCAGAAAAGGTAATCAGAAAAAGCAAAGCTATTCACTCTCCCAATTGCAACCCTCATAGAAATAACCCTGACTTATTTTCTGAGGTTTGTATTCTACTATGCAGAGATTCCATAAAATACTATTCCTGGTGGAGAAGCAAGAGAACAGATAATGCAACAAATATACATTGGTTATCTGCAATGTGTCAGGCAGGGTGATAGCTAATATGTGAGGATAAACTAGGGGCAGGTTCCTGCCCTTGCAGTTCACAGACTAGGATAAGGGTCTATAATAGAGCTAATTCATTTAAAGGGCTTAGAGAGGCACTGATTTATATTTGAACTGGGTTTTGAAAGATAAGTAGTAGTTCCCAAGATGGAGAAGAGGAAAAAAAAAATGCTTTAGAATGAATAATGCAGTACTATTTGAAAACTGGGATAGGAGAATGTGTCAGAAAAAAGGCAAGAAATGAAGTGTAGATGATTTAAAAAATTCTAAATTTGTAATGTGAAGTAAATGGTACATATGTAATGTGTGTTAGAAACAAAGGTTATTTTTTTTGTCATCTTTCATTTATGTGCAATTAGTAGAAAATTTAGCTATGCTCAAAATGTTAGTTTTTCAAATAACTGAAATTCCTTAAAATACCAAAATGTTAATTAAAGTTAAAGAAAAAAAAGAACTATTCTTAATATGT